CCTAATGCTGCGACCTAGACTTTTAAAGTTTTGATCGTTAATTTCTTGTCTGCCCCTTGTTGAAGAAATTCCAGGACAGAGGTAAGGTCTTCCAGGGGCCTTACATCGGAGGAGCACCAGGAATTGTACACCTTCCAAACTTTCCCGTAAATTGCTCTCATGACACTTTTGCGGCTTGCCAGAAGAGTGGCCACTAGGCGTTGTGAGAGACCCCTCCTCTAGCAGATACTTTGCAGAAACCACGCTGTGAGGCGCAAGCTTTCTATTTTAGGATGACACACAAGTCCCTGTTGTAGCAGGTCCTTTCTGAGTGGAAGTGGCCAGTACGGTTTGACTGCTAGCCAGAGGAAAATGGAAAACCATGGCCTTTTAGGGCAGAAGGGAGCTACGAAAATGACTGCCACTTTTTCTGTTTAAGTTTCTTCAGGACCTGCGGAATTATTTGGAAGGGAAAAGTGTAACTCAGCTGGAAGCACCACCTTTGGCCGAGAGAATCTGTTCCCACATATCCGTCTTCTCTGTTCAAGGAGAAAAACTGACAGGTTTTGGCATTCTCATGGTTCGTAAACAGATCTATCAGTGGCTATCCCCATTCTCTAAGCTGAGAAAGACCTCCTAATTTAGACAGCATGCTCCTTCCCTCACTTGGTGCCTGCTTAAAAAGTTGGCTACCACGTTTAGCGAGTCTTTAAGATGTATTCCTGACAAGGATGCCAGAATGACTTCTGCCCAAGGCAGAATTTCCTCTGCAAGTCTCTGAAGTCTCCTGCTCTCCGTGCCCCCTTGCCTATGGCATTGTCTGTGCAGACCTGCACATGGTGGCCCTGGAGCATCTGGAAGAAAGCTAATAACACTAGAGCAATAGCTTTCAGCTCCCTCCAGTTTGAGGAATTTGTTGCTTGTTGTTTTCACCACTGCCCCCATATCAGATAACTTTCCAAGTGTGCTCCCTAGCCCCAGGAGCTGGCATCCGTGGTGAGCATCTTTCCTACCTGAAAAGACCAGACCTCTTGAAAGAAATTCCTGTTTCTTCCACCACCAGAGGGATCTTTTTACCCTGGTTGGAACCTTCACCTTGGTGTCCAGTGAGGACAAATCCCCATCCCAAACTCTCAGAATAAACTGTTGTAGAGGGGGTCTGAAGTGTATCCTTGTCCACTGGACTGCTGGAATGGAAGCTGTCAATAGGTTGAAAGGCTGACATCAGGAATCTGATTGACACCTGATTGCACAGAAGCCTGAGTCATTGCAGTCTTGAGTTTTTTGCGATTTCTCTTTTAGCAAAAAAAAAAAAAAATTCTGTCAAACAGATCGAAAACCTCAGAAACAGAACTTTCTTGGACAGGGTCAGATTGGACTTCTGCACATTTACTGTCCAACCTAAGCTCTCCACATGATTGTGGGCCACTTGTAAGTCCTCCTTTAACTGGTCTTCTGAGTTTGCTAGAAACAGAAGGTTGTACAGATACAGAATTACCATAATGCCTCTGAGCCTTAGAAAAGCCAAGGCCTCCACCATCACTTTCATGGAAATGCAGGGTGACAATGACAGGCCAACTTCAGGTCACTGGAAGCTAACTCTTCCTTTACTAGCACTGAGATACACTCTTTCCATAGTGGTTTTCTCCAAGAATCCGACAATTTATTTTTGCATGAAGGACACCTCCTCTTGCTACTGGATTCCCTTTTCACTGCTCTTAGCCTAGCAAAAAGACAGCACAGAAAAGCCACTTCAGAACTGACCTAACAGTCTAACAAAACACCACACACCAACACCTGTGAACCACCTCCCGGGTATAAATGCCACACCACTTGTGTACTGACCCTTGCCTAAAATCCTACCTGTCTTATTAAGAATGGAGCTGGGAAGATAGAGGTTTAATATAATTAATCCTAAAAAAGGGTTAAAATCTTGCAAGCATAGCTTCTATATTGTGTGTTAATGAGGGGAGACACACTATGTGCCTCTGAGTCTGCCATGAATCCATTACATAAAACTTCTAAGGCTTTGTTCACACAGGCATACTACAGCATATGTCCATGTAAGGGCCTTATTTACCAGCACAGAGATGTACAGGTGTCCTGTGCGGCCCCCTGCAGGCAGTCCCATTCAGTTAATTGGGATCAGTGGTTGCAGAGATATAGAATTGGGAGGATCGGCTGTGTTCATGCAGCCTTTGAATCCCAGTTGATATGAATGGGACTGCCTGCATAGGGATGCACAGAACACCTATGCATCCCTGTAGTGGATAAACACAGCCCATCCAGGGTGTATGCTGTCGTTCACCCATGTTAATGAGGCAAAAATGTTTAGAATATATTTTTAAAAGTTGCTAGGTGTGCTGTGGGAATATACATACACAGAGATGGAGTCGGCACAATATGGTGGTTCCTACTGTATGGCAAGCGTTCTGATAAAGAGAGGAAGCGATCTCTAGGAAGCATGTAAAGAGGAGCCACTAAGTGTAGACTGTGAGACGATTTATTATAAAAGCAGGATAACATGCACTCACATATTTCAGAATAAAATCAGGCACATCTATAGTCAGTGTCCGGCGTTTTATCGTCAGCTGCCTTTGCTGGATGTGGAGCCGTTTCTCTCCGGGGTCTGTGGCAGGCTGGATGGTGAAGAGGGACCAGAATGAGGGCTGGAGCACAGGTGGAATGCAGTACTGGGAGTTTTGACGTCACCAGATGTGATGCAACACATTTTGGAACATGCATGCAACAAGATATGTCAGGCGTGCTCATTTGTCAGAGCTTGACGAGCTTGACAAAGAAGCACACCCGACATATTATCAGACAGTCTACACTCAGTGGCGCCTTTTTTCCCTCTCTCTTTACATGCTGTGGGAATAGAAACACATAACATAGTAGGGTTTTCTCAAATTTGATTGTAAAAGTCGAAGTACACTTTATAGGTACCCTGACACCAACTTAAAAATTTACAAAATTTTAATATTTTAAATGTTGGGTATAGAGATGCAGCAATACATCAGCCACCGAAAATTATTGGGTGAAAATAGGGTTATCGGCATTTTGACGATAGAAAAAAAATTCAATGCAGAATTGCAACCCATGGACTTCAAAGCAAAATCGTGACCCATTGACTTCAAAGCAAAATCGTGACCTATTGAATTCAAAGCAAAATCGTGACCCACTGACTTCAAAGCAAACACGCCTCTATTTAAGATTTTAATTTTTATATATATTTCATTTTTTGTCTAATGTTTGTGTTACTTTCATTAAAAGTTATTTTACGTTACTGGAGTGCATATTTTGAATTCATATTCATTTAAATTCATGATAATTAAAAAGTCGAATATAATAATTATATATAATAAATATATTTTTTTAAGAAAGTTTCCATTGCAGTTTCGGTTTTCAGCCAAATGCATCCTGAATTTTCGGTTTCAGTCAAGAATTTCCATTTTGGTGCACCACTAGTTGAATGACAGCTCAGTCTTCTGGGGCAGTTAACTGATCCAAGATAGCTGCACCCAGCAGCAGTCTTTAGGCCTTTGGCTGTCTACACAGGAGGCTTTTAAAAGGTAAATAATGTTCATAACATGCAATAAATGTACATATAATTTCATGAGGAGCTTTTTGTTGAAGTGAATGATCTTCTGACAGGTTGTATTTATTTTTATTTGAAAATTACTATATTTTGATGTCAAAATAAATGAAAGGAATTGCAGAAAAAAAAAAACAAAAAACAAAAAAAACAGCCTTTATATCTACAGCAACACTTGTTTTAAAATTATCACTAATCAAACTGGAAAAATGTAAGTTGTTTTTATTTTTACTTATTTTTGCTTTTAAAATATAAAGTAAACAACATAAATCTTTGCAGAAGATATCACCAATAGAAAACAGTCTTATAAAAAAAAACCTCACACACACAATATACAGTACGTACATGATTTATTGTTTATTGCTAGATAAATTGGACTGTAGCTGAAATGTGAAAATGGCTCTGGAGCTTAATAGGTCAAAATACTGCAAGATTCTGCCTGCAGTATACATTTCCATGAGGTGTCTATTAATGGGAGCAGAGGTAAAATGATTCATAGAATAAATTATTGATTTTTAGTAAATAAAGAGCCTTCAGTGGTCACAAAACCAATTTTGAAGAAATTATGATAGCTTAACTATAGTTATATGTATGTGTGTTTTATGAAAAAATAAATAAATAAAAAGATTCAACTGTGCACCCCCATGTGACATCACTGAGTCTCTGAGCTTCCAAGAGAAGATACTCTATGTGTGCCGCACAAAGTGAAAAGCTTATTGGATAGCAGTAGGTGGTTGCCAAAAGCGCTATTTCAGTGTGAAACATGTAAGAGGTGAGCCCTGCCGCTATCCAGTGAATAAGAAAACTTTCTGCAGCCCGGAGTGCTGCAGTTCACTTTTTTTTTTTTCTGTATGAGCTGGCAATTGCCATGCACCAGTACAGTCATACTTCCCTCTACAGAGAAGTATTGGGTATTTATTTTTGCTCCTAACAGCTGGGGAGCAAAGGGAAGGCAAGTATGGGTTGCTGAAGGGGCGGTCACTAACAAACAAATTGCTTTGCCTGGCATGGGCAAAGCACAGGTCCACTTTAGTGCTTAATCTGGAAGCCTAAATTAAGTCAGACAGAAAATGTAAACTTTTAGGTAACTAAGGAAAAAAAAAAAAAAGTCATATACATACCTGAAAGATCTTGCTCTGTCAGCATGTGCTGGCTTATTATCCTGAGGATAGCTAAAAAACAGAAAATTAAAATGTTGTGTCTCAGTAAGTCAAATGGAAAGGTAACATGGCAAATAGCAAGACTTGGGTATGTGATATGAGTAAGATTCTATTATCCAGAATGAATCTTTTGATCAAAATAGCATGATGAACTGAAGGTAAGATTCAGTTCATCCCGCCCGCCATATAAGGAAATGACGGACGCAAGGTGGTTCTCTAGTTCTGGGAGGAACCCACTCTAACTGCGCGTGTGCGGCTCCGGGGGCGCGCAGCATAGCGATCGGTGGTGCGCTGTGTCCCTCGGATACAGTGGATCACCGATCAACGGAAAGAGCCAAAGATGTCGGCTCGGTTATGTGATCAGCTGTGTCCAATCACAGCTACATGTAAATAAGGAAATGCCGGTTATCGGCAATTTTCTCCTCACGAGCTGTCACTCTGACAGCTCGTGAGGAGAGGAGAGTCGGTAATCGGCATTCCTCAGAGGTGGCATGTACACTGATCATCAGGGCACTGATGATCAGTGTGCCCTGATGATCAGTGTAGCCCCAGCAGTGCCACCTGTCAGTGCCCATCAATGCCAGCTGTCAGTGCTCATCAATGCCACCTGCAAGTGCCCATTAGTGCCACATCAATGCCACATATCAGTGCCTACCAGTGCACATGAATGCCACATATCAGTGCCCATCTGAGCTGCCACTTATCAGTGCCATCTATCAATGCCAGTCAGTGCCACCTATCAGTGCTGCCAATCAGTGCCGCCTATCAGTGCCAGTCAGTGCCACAAATCAGTGTCTGTCAGTGCCGCCAATCTGTGCCATATATGAATGCTGCCTTTCAGTGCCCATCAGTAATGCCTGTCAATGCCCATCAGTGCCACCTACCATCACTTATATACAAAATTGTATAACAAAAACTGAGAAAAAAACTTTTTTTCCCCCAAAATTTTCAGTTGTTTTTGGTTTGTTTAGCAAAAAATAAATAACCCAGAGGTGATTAAATACCACCAAAAGAAAGCTTTGTCTAAAAAAAATGATAAAAATTTTCATATGGGTACAGTGTTGCATGACCGCGTAATTGTCATTCAAAGTGTGACAGCACTGAAAGCTGAAAATTGGGCTGGGCAGGAAGGGGGTATAAGTGCCCCGTAGGCAAGTGGTTAATTGCCAACTGCTATTTCAGAGTTTTTTGCAATAATTTAATCCACCCTAAACGTGGTCTGGAGGAGCCTATAAACAGATCTTTCCTCAGAGTGGGTTTTTCTGTACTGCTTTTTAACTTTTTTTTTAAATCTCTATATAACCTGTTTTACCCTTCACCTCAACATTGAATGCTTTAAAGTTGAACCTTTAACTAGAGATAATTGTAGAAGCAAAATTTAACACATAAAAAAAACCAAAAAACAACACATCAAACCCCTTCCCCTCCCTTTTTTTTCCTTTTCCCTTCCCTCTCTTTCCTCTTGTTGACCACCTAGCAGTGTCATCTTTCTCATCCTACAATTATTGAAAAAATGCCAGCTGGAGTGAACTGTCCCCAGGAAGTGACTGCAAGAAGGCCCTGGGACAAGGTCCCCTGCTAGGTAAAACAACTGATTGCCCCCTCTCTCCTGTAGGCATGTGCTTGCAGGCTAATTAACCTTACTAGTGTGTACATGATCCCTATGGTCTCCTCCATGTCATCAATCATATGACAGATTGTGCCAACATCAGTATTTAACCTCATGGCTTAATTTGTCTTTTATTGATGCTGTGCAATATTGCACATTATCTTGATCTTTTTCTACAGTCAATTTTTGTATATCCATTTGACGACACATTGCTGGACTTGACGTGGTGCCCGCAGCTGCATGCATCATCCAGGTATCGGTTTTTAGAGCCAATGGTCAATCCTAGTGGCGAGTTACCTGCTGAATTGCTTTTATAAGCAGCGGGAGGGGACATTCCCCCTTTCCACGGTTCTCTTGTCCCACCAGGAGATCCTAGCAACCAGTCAATGCTTCTCCCAGATGACCATACAGGCAATCAGAGCGCGGAACGGCTCTGACTGCTTCCATGGTATAGGAAACCAGAAGCGATAAGCATTCATCACTTCTGATTTCCCCGAATATAAACAGCACCATTTTTAAATGGGGAAAGTATCTGATTACACCAATCTTGGTGTGATCAAATGCTTTTAAGGGCAGAGGAAAGTCTGGGGTCTGATAGACCAAAAATCTCTCCATAAAGAGTACCTGTCACTGCCTATTGCTATCACAAGGGATATTTATATAACAAAAGTGGTAAAAAGAAAAAAAAATTTAAAGCGACAGTGTAAGAAAAAAAAAAAAACAGCATTTTTTAAATCTGTCCCACTGCCCTAAGGCGAATGCATGTGTCCATCCCACACGCATGCAAACAGAGATCGTCCCACACGTGAGGTATAACTGCGAACGTCATATTGCGAACGTCATATTGTAAATAAAAAGTGTGAGAAAAGGCTAGGTCTTAAAGTGGGTATCTAATGCAAATTGACATTGATGTAATTGACCATGAAGGAGATGTCATGTTATGCTATTGTTTCTTGTTGCATACCAATAAATAAGGAATTAAAAAACCAAAAAAACAAAAAAAAAAAAAAAAAAACACACATCAAACAAATCAGTAATAAAATAAGCATCAACCTTGAACGTGGCATCTCCCAAATGAACCAGTCGTTTCCAGCAACAGCTCCAACTCTGAATGTGTTCTTCAAGCACCAGTCTGCAGACATCAAAGGCACTTGCATAGACTCAAGGGACAGAATGGCCTGATGTGTAGTCAAATCATAGAAACGTATGGTGCCAGTCTTCTCTGCTATCATTAGCTGAAAAAAAAATAAGTTATAGTTATTTATACACTATAAAAGCATTTAAAAAATTAAAATGCCAAACTGCCAAAAATGCAGTTGAAATACACGTGAGCTAAACGTTTTAGATTTCAAAAGATTTCTAATTCTGTTCTTGCACTTTTGTATATAATAGACCTCTGCCTCTTTCCTGGGACACCTTCCTGCTTATTAAAAGTAGAATCCAAAGCATAGCACCAAGGAATTGCTGAGGCAGAGAGATAAGTCAATACAAAAAACTCTTCATGATCATTCTTGGCATTACCAGTTAAGCTTACACAGTGCAGCCCTCTTCACATTGGCCAATCTATCTAGCAATTGGTAAAATAAAAGCAGAAGGGTGCAGAAGCCTAGTGCATAACCTGATGACAAGTTTATTATACAGTTGCAAGAAAAAGTATGTGAACCCCTTGGGATTACGTGGAGTTTTGCATGAACTGGGTATAAAATGTGCTCTGAACGTCATCTAGGTCACAACAATAGAAGAACACAGTCTGCTGAACATAATACTACACAAAACATTAGATGTTGCCATGGTTTAATTGCACATAACATGTAAACATTCACAGTGCAGGGAGGAAAAAGTATGTGAAGCCCTAGCTTAATGACTTCTCCCAGAGCTAATTGGAGCCAGGAGTGAGCCAACCTTGACTCCAATCAGTGTGATGATATTGGATGTGTGCTGACAGCTGTCCTGCCCTTAAAAAATACACACCTGTTTTGGGTTTACTGGTTTCAAGAAGCACTGTCTGATGTGAACCATGCCTCGCAGAAAAGAGCTCTTCAGAAGACCTACGATCAAGAATTGTTGACTTGCATGAAGCTGGAAAGGGTTACAAAAGTATCTCCAAAAGCCTTGATGTTCATGTGTCCACGGTAAGACTGTCTACAAATGGAGAAAGTTTAGCACTGTTGCTACTCACCCTAGGTGTGGTTGTCCTGTAAAAATGACTGCAAGAGCACAGAGCAGAATGCTGCATGAGGTAAAGAAGAATCCCAGAGTGTCAGCTAAAGACCTACAGAAATCTCTGGCACATGCGAACATTTTTGTTGACACATCTACAATAAGGAAAACATTAAACAAGAATGGAGTACATGGGAGGACACCACGGAGGAAGCCATTGCTGTCCAAAAAGAATATTGCAGCACGTTTGAAGTTTGAAAAAGAGCACCTGGATGTTCCACAGCACTACTGGCAAAATATACTGTGGACAGATGAAACCAAGATTGAGTTGTTTGGGAAGAACACACAACACTATGTGTGGAGAAAAAAAGGCACAGCACACTAACATCAAAATCTCATCCCCACTGTAAAACGTGGCAGAGGGAGCATCATGGTTTGGGGCTGCTTTGCTGCCTCAGGGCCTGGACGGATTGTTGTCATTGATGGGAAAATGAATTCCAGAGTTTATCAAGATATTTTGCAGGAAAACGTACGACCATCTGTCCGCCAACTGAAGCTCCGCAGAGGATGGGTGATGCAACAGGACAAAGACCCAAAGCATACAAGTAATTCAACAAAACAATGGCTGCAACAGCACAGAATACGCCTTCTGGAGTGGCCCAGTCAGAGTCCTGACCTCAACCCGATTGAAATGCTGTGGCATGACCTTAAGAGAGCGATTCACACCAGACATCCCAAGAATATTGCTACACTGAAACAGTTTTGTGAAGAGGAGTGGTCCAAAATTACTCCAGATCGTTGTGCAGGTCTGATCTGCAACTACAGGAAACGTTTGGTTGAGGTTATTGCTGTCAAAAGGAGGGTCAACCAGTTCTTAAGTCCAAAGGTTCACATACTTTTTCCTCCCTGCACTGTGAATGTTTACATATTATGTGCAATTAAAGAATGGCAACATCTAATGTTTGTGTAGTAATATGTTCAGCAGACTGTGTTCTTCTATTGTTGTGACTTAGATGACGTTCAGAGCACATTTTATGCCCAATTCATGCAAAACTCCACGTAATCCCAAGGGGTTCACATACTTTTTCTTGCAACTGTAGGTCTAGAAATGCCAAAATCATACTCAAGAAAAAAATGTCCAAGGCAAAAAAGCATTGAATGAACAACACCCAGGTGACAGGAAGGTCAGGGTGTAGATGTGTATCACCAAGACCAAGACATCACCCAGGCGTACATGCTAACGTATTTCGAGAGATGAGCACTGTTCCTCAGAGCATAGTTCTGTATATCAGCTCACTTTTAAATTTACTAGGATCTGAACCACATGACTAGTACCACACAGATCCTCCCCTTACGGGGAAGGGCTATTGCATAAGCAGTGATTGTCCTGCAGAGTATTGAACAAGAATGAAATACAAAAATGAAAGTCAAATGCTCAATAATCTAGATCCAGTCATTGCTGGTATCAATAATGTTATCGATAGCAGTTGCCTTTTCCACAGGCCCATAGATTGTAACTGGTATTCAGACAGTGTAGTTTGACATACTTAAGAGCTTGGTAAAAGACTAATAGTCACAAAAATAATTAACTTATCAACTGTGTTCTAGTGACTATTCTCTGATCTTACCCTGTGCTTCCAATAATTCCTCCTGAGACCGCCCCCCGCCAATCAAAAACACAGCATTCAGTGCTCTGAAACATACATGTGACCTTCACCAGCAGATGGGGGGCAGATGGGGGGCAGCCTGGGTGTAACTAGAAATGCCGGTCTGAGAAAACAGATATGACACCAGCACTGATGCTGCAGCCAAGCACACACAGGAAATGTGTGCTTGGCTTTCTTTCCCAATTAATAATGGGTTCAATGTCCCACCAGAAGGCATGTTAGAAAAGTGATGCTTGTAATAATGACTTTATAAGAGCCCCAAAACAAGGGAGAAAAAGTATGGTGTAACCTCTACTACATACATAGCTCAAGGACTACAACTCACTGTCCTACAAAGAAAAAGGGCCAAGGAGTAAACCTTACAGATTATTAAAGAGGTACCATACATTTCTTATTATACCTTACAGTGCACCAATACATAAAAGAAATGATTTTGATGCTAATAATAAAATAAAAAACACACACACACACACACTTAACTGGGGGTATTCATACCCTTTGGGTAAGTAAAGGGACTAAATGATGGGTGTAAGACTCAATGATTACAAAAAATTAAACATTATTCTCTGCATTATTAAACCTGAAATCAAAGTGAAAAAAACTGACTTGATTCGTCTGATGACATGAAAATATAACATAATCCATAAGGATAGCTAGGCGCAGAACACTTCAAGATCATAAATAAACTAAAATCAAGCTATTGACATCTTTTAAATTCTTACTGATGCCTCATAGGATTGGAGACAATGATTTTTTATTAGGACCACCTGGTAAGGGAATACTTCGGGCAATCTATTGGGAGATCTGTAAATAGTTCTGAACCCCTGCCCACAGGAATATATAACAAGCAAGCAGTAAAAAAGTAAAATGGGGAAGAAAAAAAGGAAAGGCAGACGTGAACAACCCCCTCCTGAAAACTGGCTGCACATGAGATAGCACAAGCAGTAATGCATTTACTGTATACCTGCAGCCATAAGCACACAACTACCTGACATCATACACTTACACAGCTGTAAAATCCACACAACTGTCTTTGTTACTGGAAAATTGGCAACACAGATACTTCCACTTCTGCAGATGTGAAAAAAAATGTATTCTTGATATAACTCTCCAGGCTATGCCAATAGCCAAAACCAGTGTCACAGCAAGTGAAACAAAAATTACAATACAGTGACCCTTTGTGCACAGAATATAACTGGTAATAAATGACGTTAGCAGAATATGGCGGATTTAATCAGAGCTTATATTTAAAATGAACACTATTTGTATTTACTCGATTCCATTAAAAATTGGCACATTCAAACCTTAAATGCTTCTTCTGGATGCCAAGCTACACTCATCCCAGGAGATCGTAGCATAAACATTGCAATCTGATTTCCTCCTAAATCCCAAATTCTAAAATAAACAGAAAAAAAAATGCAAAATATTAAAGTGGAACTATGAATTCCCATTTAAGACTCCCCTCCCCCCAACATTTGTACTTAAATGCACACATTATGGGTGCCTACATATGAAAACATCAAATACACTACAAGGTACATATTGTCATGCATGCCTGCCGGAGTGAAAACAAGAATTCTAGGCCCACTATTCATGGTTAACTTTAAAAGATAAGTTCACCTTTTGCACAAAAATAAGAAATGCACATTTTTTTTGCAGGTAAAAAAATGTGCATTTATTATTTTTGTCTGCAGGAGCCTGTAAAGCATTGCATCAGCGATCAGCAGATTGCTGGTGCCTTGCAGGTCTGCTGCAAACTTGTCAGTATATCAGCTTGCCCGTACGGGTGCATTGGGAATATGTTCCATCCTAAAAATAGATTAAACATGTTCCCAAAGGTGAACTTGTCCTTTAAAACGGATGACCTATAAGAGCCCTTAATGTATCACTTATGGAAAATTTTGGGTACCAGTTTTAAAAGGTTAACATGTTGTGCATCTATTTACTCAGCACAACCTCACCTCATCTTTTAGAATTTACCAAAAGATTGGGTAATATATTGTGTTTCTGTGTACCAAAATTAACTTTAGTATAATTTTTTGCTGAAAATTTGGACTTGATAAAACGTTCTACTAATATTATGTAACATAAAAGAATTGGAACTACTAACATTTTATACTTCAGGGTCTCTGCTTTCAGAGAGTATATACTGTTTGGGGGTTTTAATGTAATCTTTAGGCCTAACGTGTATTTTAACAAGCGCAAAATTGCAAAAACAACTCAGGCAGCAAAAGGGTAAAACTAAACTTTGGCCAGCCAAAATACTGGAAGTGTGTGCCCCCCTCTTTCCTACCTTTTTGCAAGCAATGTGGGTAAGAACTTCACATCCTCAGGTACAATGCAAGGCCACTGGTGATGTTGGCAGAAGGGGTGGCTTGACCATAGACCACATCTGTATCCACAAGCCAAACTGGGGGGTCCTCCTGCTCACCTGCTACTGTAGCTGTATCCCTATCTCACACCAGCCTTTATGGAAGTGATGAGCTGGGAGGGTTTCTGGCATTCAGGTCAGATCACATGCAACAATAACTCCAAACCCTTCACTGGTGTCAGGGACAGCAATAATACCCCCCCCCATTTTCAATGGTTTCATTGACAGGAACAACAACAATGTTAAAGACCGGTTCCCGTGCGCTTTTCTCCCTCCCAGCTGGGCTGGAACTACACTATTCCTGTTGGCAGAGAAATCTCCCTGTCCTGATGGATAAGCAGTAAATCACTCTGTCCGACAGGCAGTGTCGAGTGCTGAAATGGAAAGAGCATGCACTGTAGGCTGCAAAAGAGGGCTCCCACAGGCCGCCAGTTGTACTAAAGTTATGAAGGTGTCACTGCTGAGCTTTCTGAGAATGCTATTTGCCTGGCTGTCATGCTGTTCTAGCCGCATTATTAATTCTGAAGCATGGACCTTAAACAGGTATGTAGATCAGGAGTCCTGATTTTACACTGAGTATTGAAGCCAGAGACAGCAATGGCAGAGGGAGTGTATTTCTCTCAGTATACCTTCACTCTCATTGCTACTAACTGCAGCAGAACTGTAACACATGACATTTTAATGCATGGGTATCTAGACACATTTAAAAACTTGCCCTGAGCTCTAGGTATTTGTTAACAAAAAAAAAAAAAAAAAAAAAGAAAAAAAAAAAAAATAGGAACAATCCCAGCTACTACTTGCCACACAACCAACCTGTATTTTTTTTTTTTTGACCAGATTACAGTATGTGATGGCAAAACATCACCTCGTATGTGAAGGAACCAAAGTATAAGTTTTGATATAATAAACTGTTTAAACATGACTTGATGGAAATCAGTTAAAAATGAAATTACTTTTAGGATATGAAAGTAACAGCTACTATAAGGTGAAATTAAAATATCAGCAAAACATCAGTTATGACAAGCTAAGATGTAACCAATTAATCTAAGACAGTAACCCCCAATTTATAAAGGGACCATTTATAGATAAAAGACATGTATATTTTTCCCAAATGAATGGATGAAAGTCTCGGCTGTAAAAACTACCCATTACAAGAGCATTATGTATTTGGAGCTGTGCAGAATGAGAACAAGTTGACCTTTTGAAAACGCTCTTGGTGTTCTTTTAGAGAGTACTTAGTTTTTAATATAGTTGGCAATGCTTTCTGGTTTCTCTCCAATGTCATAATGCTTTCCCAAGATTTAAGCCATCACTGCACAGAAACATTTTAGAAGCAAATGCTGACAATGTGCTGATTTGAATTGGAGGAAAATGTAACTAAAATTCATGTGTAGGTTTTAGTTCTTGATTATATACACAACAAAAATTATTTTAAATGTTAAAGTCTTAAAAAGGAATTGATCAACTTCTCAATGTTTTCTTTTAGATTTACATGTAAAAGATATTTTCCATAAATCTTATGTATGTTTAGGCAATCATGTTTATTTATATAGCTTGTATATAGGTCAGCCATATTTGTTCACACTAAAAACCCCTTTCTTCTTCACTACATAATGGCTGTACTTGACTGCTCCTTTGCACAATCCAAGTCTATTAACCTGCTAGCTGATTAAAAAAAGAATTTGGATTCCAGTTTGATCATATTTTATTTAACCCCTGGTCAAAAAACAATGCAAATACCATGGCTGGCTTCTCATTTTAAAAATGCTAGCTGCCTGGCTGTCATGCTGAACCTCTTGTTTTGAAGTTCTCAGTGCCCAACATAGAACAAGTATGCCAAAACTTCTAACTTTACCCCCAAACTTCCTAATCTGCATACTGTTTTTAACCCCTTCCTATCTGCCCTGGCGTCCCCTTTAAAAGTTCTCAACACCTAGGGGGCGGGAAGGATCAGTGACCATGTGACCACTGTGATTAGCGGTCACGGGGGTCACATGATCAAAAGCCATTTTCAGCAGCTCAGTCTTTGTGCTGGGAGCGAGCAGGGAGCGGAGGCTCTCCCAGCATATAAACATTTCCCACTCAGTGACGCATATGTGCGGCCATGTGGGGGTTAAAGCCCAACTTCTTGCTGGAGCACATATAAGATACGGGGTGTAAAAGGGTTAAGCTGGCTATGCACCTGCCGAAAACTGGCTGGTTCAGCAAGAGCCAGTCAACTTCAGTGTGCACAGCTGGCTGTCCATCAGAATTTGGTCTAACAACTGGATTTTGTCGAAGGGCCACACTGGAAAACAAGCATCTGATCGGTGTATTCTTGCATGGGGGATCACTGCACCAGTATCGCTTGTGTTAGTACATCTATGGGTTTTTTTTTGTTCAACCCCCTGGGTTTAATGGAAAAATGCTTGCAGTGTGTACAGGGTTTAAATCATTGGGCCGATTTACTAAATTTGAACAGGCTGTTCACTTTGCACAGTGTATATTAGTAAAGAAGAATCTGTTTTCACTTTGAATACCCAATCAGGTGCAAGGAAAATGAAACATAATTAAAATGTAAACCAAAAACAACCTTCAGCCAAATCGTTAAGCTCAGTGAACATTCACTTTTCTCTCTTTGCTCAGGGAACAGTCCTTTTTTCCTTATAAAATCAACCCTATTGACCCAGAGGATGTTGAAAGCAGATGATCTGTAAAATGGCCAGAAAACTAGCATTTTCAAAACCATGCAAACACATATTTTCCATATTTCTGTTATGTTTAAAGTTGTAGTACACTCCCTTTCTTGTTTTGTACCTATAGGTAAGCCTATAATAATGCTTACTTGTAGGTACAGTAAACATCTCCTAAAAATGCAAAGTTTAGAACAGGGGTAGGCAACCTTTGAGAGGTGGAGATCTACCTTGACAACATGGAGGAGATCAAAGATCACCGGGGTGCAGCACCCTAATTTTTTGAAGTGATTAATTAGCAAGCCCCCAGTAAAAAGTAAATACGGCATGAAGAAAACTTAGAACAATCCAATAAAACTAATGTCACTGTAAAAACATAAAATTATCCTACCCAAAAATTTATCTTCAATGAGAAAACTCAGCATTCACTGTCATTCACGATTTTTTTCTATGTCTGGAGAGTAATTGGTTACCCCTACAAGGCTGATGCCAGAGTCCATCATGAAAGCAGAAGCTCTGATTTTTGGCCAGTATAACTAGTATGCAGGGCAGTGTCTAGTGGTCAGTAGTATATAGGGCAGTGTACAGAGGTCAGTGGTATGCAGGACAGTGTACAGAGGTCAGTAGTAGGTAGAGCAGTGTACAGAGGTCATCAGTAGGTAGGGCAGTGTACAGGGGTCAGTAGGATGTGGGCCAATGTAAAGAGGTCAATAGTATGTAGGGAAGTGTGCAGGGGTTAGAATTAGGCAGGGCACTGTACAGAGGTCATTAGAGAGTGTACAGGGGTCAGTAGGGTGTACGAGAATGTACAGAGGTCAGTAGTATGTAAAGCAGTGTGCAGAAGCCAGTAGGATGTAGAGTAGTGTCAAGGGATTAGCAGTAGGCAGGGCACTGTACAGAGGTCAGTGCGATGCACGGCAGTGTGCAGAGGTCAGTGCGATGCACGGCAGTGTGCAGAGGTCAGTGCGATGCACGGCAGTGTGCAGAGGTCAGTGCGATGCACGGCAGTGTGCAGAGGTCAGTGCGATGCACGGCAGTCTGCAGAGGTCAGTGCGATGCACGGCAGTGTGCAGAGGTCAGTGCGATGCACGGCAGTGTGCAGAGGTCAGTGCGATGCACGGCAGTGTGCAGAGGTCAGTGCGATGCACGGCAGTGTGCAGAGGTCAGTGCGATGCACGGCAGTCTGCAGAGGTCAGTGCGATGCACGGCAGTGTGCAGAGGTCAGTGCGATGCACGGCAGTCTGCAGAGGTCAGTGCGATGCACGGCAGTGTGCAGAGGTCACTAGGACGTACGATAGTGTGCAGAGGTCACTAGGATGTAGGACAGTGTGCAGAGGTCAGTAGGATGAAGAGATGTATACAGAGGTCAGCAGTATGAAGAGCAGTGTATATGGATTAACAAGGCAGATGACAGGGGTAACAGGGCAGAGGACAGGGATCAGGAGGACACAGTAATAGGGGGTCAGGAGAGCATGGTGCAGGGGGGTCAGGATGGCACAGTACTTGGGGGGGTCAGGAGGGTATGGTATTGGGGGGTTCAAGAGGGAATAGTACTGTGGGGTCAGGAGGGCATGGTATTGGGGGTTCAGAAGAGTATGGTATTGGAGGCCAGAAGGGAATAGTACTATGTGGTCAGGATGGTACAGAAGTTGTGAACCCGGAAGGAAGACCGGGTGAAGATGGATTCTCTGTCAGAGATAACAGCATGCCGCTGGAGGGATCTATTTCTTGGACAAGTTTGTCATAATGTGCTAGTATGCGGTGCATACTAGCACATGCTGACATGAGCCTGCTGGGGAACCATTATTTTTTTTAAACACAGTTTACTACTGCTTTATTTAGAGTATGTGCAGGCATTGCAGTTTTTTTTTCCCACTGACATCAACAGGCTTGTAAACTCCATCCAGTTAGGTTTCTGGGAGCAGAAACTACCTCAATTTTTATTGAGGTAGACATACCCCTAGAACTACATCTGCCAAAAGACCTTTTTCCTATACACAGTGCATGGAAAAGCTCTCTGGATTTAAGGAAGCAGCAATGTTTTGCTGATAAAGAACTTATTGTCTGCATAAGCAGTGGGGCAGAGACGGGAGGGGATATGTGCAGTTCAATAGTTGAGCAGGCAAAGCTGATAAACACTGTAGCAAAGGCAGGGTTGTCAGCCCAAACAGGAAGTTAAATGCACACTGGATTTCTGACGGATGAATAGGTATTTTTATGCACTTCTCTCTCCCCACCTCCCCCAGTCTAGCAGTACTAGTGTCAATCTTAAAGGATGCAGGGACATCTGAAGAGAATTACACGGTTTAAAACTGGCCATAGACTATAACACTTTTTAATTCAGCTTGCAGGCTGAATCACAATGACCTGCCTCAAAATGACAGCTCCCTGGCTGACTGATATTTGTAGTAAAAATATTTGCTCCATGATGTCACCTAGGATTCCCAGAATGGTTTGTTTACAAAACCAGCTGGACGGGAATCTGTCATTTTGTGACAGTAATGCTTTTTTTTTATAGGGTTAGCTTGTTACGGTTTTGTAACTCCATAGTAGCTCATCCCTAGTATTGAGCAACTATATGGGGGGGGGGGGGGGGGGGGGAATTACGTCAGAGGTATTCGAAAAGAAAGGGGTATGTAAAAAAAATTATTCTGCTTTTGTTTCCAGGAATCTGTCTTGGAGTTCCAAAGCCCCATTAAACACAACATTTTGGACTCAAATGTCTTACCTGCATGTGTGGTCATCACTGACACTTGCAATATCATTTCCTTCACAAGAACAGAAAACTACATCATTGATGTAGCTGGAGTGACCATCTATGAGCTTTGAAATAAAAAAATGTATGTAAAAAGGATGAATATTTTATAAAAAATTGTATGTAAATGAACAAATCATGTGGCTGCTGGAATTGTGTTTTATACACTAGGCGGCTCATTCATTAGCAAGAAAGCACAATGCAAAGTGCCGATATCTACAGTAACCTGTCACACATTTTTTTAAAAAGCATATACACTTCATTATATATAATAAAATATAGGACACCAGATATGTTTACAAACATGAGTCATGCAACTTTTACCCAGGATTTACATAGTTTGTCCAAAATTATTCAACCCCCACTGAAATTGAGTGTTTTGGCCAGTTTGACATTGCCATTCAGTTCTGCTTACAAAAAACAAGTGTGAATCTTGAAATAACCACAAATGTTTTTCTGAAAATCATTTTATTCAACCCCCAAGTTTCAATCTTAGTGTACAAAAACTTTTTATAAATATAGACACATCTTGCAGCGATGGGTGTTCTTAAAAGGCCAGTGCAGTCGGATGTTTTTGCTAGATTACATGGCTCAACAATAAAAAGCCTAACCATGCAGTTAATATGTTGTTTTCCTGTTGAAAGGTCAACAGTATTTTATAATGGTATTTTAAATATAACAGGTGATTGATTGTATAGCAGTTCTGACATAAACAGCATATGCTCAAATTTTGCTAAATTGTATTGAAAAATAAGGATAAACTCAGAACATGTTAACTGCTTCTACACAACCCCATAGCAGAAATACTGCTACAGGGTGGCACGGGGGCGCAAAATCACACACACACACATATATATATATTTTATATATACACACACACACATAACAATATATGCACATACACACATGTGATTTTGCAGTTCCGCTAGGTAGGGGGCCGCCATTCGCAGCCTCAGCTGTCAAATTACCGGGTCCCAGCCAGTGATTCCCCCATCCGACACCCCGGCGATCACCGAGTATCACCGATGGGGGAGAGACCTGCATATGAACAACACAGATTTCTCCCTTCAGCTCCTGCGCACTGCTTTGTTTGGCCTGCATAGCAGAGCCATACAAGCAGTGTGCTTACAGTGTAAAGCACACACACAGCAACCCTTTGATCGCCCCATATGTTAACCCCTTCCTGCCCAGTGCCTTTTGTACAGTGCCAGTGTTTTTTATTAGCACTGATCACTGTATTGGTGTCACTGGGGATGTCAGTGACACCAAGTCAGTTCCCCCCGGTGTCAGAATGCCCACTGCAATCCCGCTATAAGGCGCTGATTGCTGCCATTACTAGTAAAAAAAAAGTTCAAGTATATATACTGCCATTTGTAAATGCTATAAATTTCACATAAAACCAATTAATTTACTTGTATTGGGACTTTTTTTTTTTTTTTTTTTAAGAAAACACATGTAGCAGAATACATTTTGGCAGAAATTTATGACGAAATTTGATTTTTACTATGTTATACTGGACATGTTTAATAGCAAAAAAGTAAAAAATATAGTTTTTTTTCCCCAAAATTGGTCGGTCGTTTTTTGTTTATAGTGCAAAAAAAAAAGAAAGCAAAAAAAAAAAAAGCAGAGGCGATCAAATACCACCAAAAGAAAGCTCTATTTGTGGGAAAAAAGGACATAAATTTCATTGGGTGCAGTATTGTATAACCGCGCAACTGTCAGTTAAAGTAACGCAGCGCTGTATCGCAGAAAATGGCCTGGTCAGGAAGGGGGGTACATCCTCTGGAGGGCAAGTGGTTAATGTAATATAGGATTTGCCATTTTTCTGACCCACTTGGTGGCCAATATACATCATATAAAGCTCAGTAACTCCTAAAAGGGAGGCATCCACTATTGCTTGACATGCCTACTGTATTACACACTTGGGGTTTTTAAAGAGACACAAGTTTTAATGACAAAAGCAGCTGTCTGGACACTACAGTGTGAGCCTTACCTGGCACTTATTCTGTTCATGAAAGTCAGACGTGAATACTCTTAAGGTTTTATCTCCAGCAGCTGTGCAAAATCTGGTTTGAAAAGAAACACATTTAGTACTCTACATTTTATTGTAGGCTTCATTTTGTGCTGAAAGCTATGACTGAAAAAGACTCAAGGTTGTTAAAGTGTAGTGTTTTGCAGTCCACCACAAATCAAGTGTTTATAAACCCTTACATATACCCAGTAAAGTGACTGTCCTCAGGTGATACACAGAGATGAAACAAATCATCCTACATAAGTTGTACCTGTTTATCCTCAGCCGTCTCTTCTCTACAGCCGTTCAAAGTGCTGAATCTCCTCTGAGAGTTCAGAAAAAAGGAGGCAGAGAGCTGAAATTGCACACTGCAAAACTCTATGAGAAATGCTCTGAAAGCTAATTGGAGGGAAGAGACACCCCCCCCCTCCATACAGCTCATATGAACAGATTGGAGGTTGTTAATCTGCTGGAGGTCCCTACCGTGTCACCATTTTTCTCTTGGTGTCAGGAAAACCTGTAGAAGAGATTCATGCTGATAGCAGAGGAAAGAGGCAGCAGACAGAAATTACACATAGCGCTCTTAATTCAGACAAGTACACATTATAGAAGGATGTGCTTTGTTCGGATTTCATATCTGAGGTTTACAACCACTTTAAGTGAAAGCTGCCCCAGTCTCAAACCTGGAAATGGAGTGTGCCAGAGCATCAGAAAAAGTAATTGATGTGAATTAACCCCTAAAGTGTATGCAAGTCCTAAAAGTAAACTTCTCTTTTTTGCTGCATTTTAACCTGTAAAAATACCATCCACAGTGTTCTGTCATACCTATTTGAGAAGTAAAAATGAAAAATCAAAGAAGGAATTTTGACTAACCTAAATTCCATATCCTGAAGCACAGAACAGGACACAGGCAATTAATTTATAGACCCTATAATATAGGCTCGTAGTTGAGGTGATTGGACACTGGCAAAAGTTTTTGAGGACATGAATTTTCGGTTTTGGTTCAGAATTTTCATTTCCGTGCACCACTTGTTTTTTGCAGGCAGAGAGAACCAAGTTCAGATCCCAAGGAAACAATGGTGCTGCAAGCTTAAAGCAGAACTTTACCCATAACAATTTGATAAAAAAAAAAAAAATAAATGTTCTTTAGCAAGGAACATACATTCCACATTAATAATTATGCTACCAAAATTAGTGTGTGTGGAAATTGCCTCCAGAATTGCTTGTTTCTTGCTAGAGGCTGCATTTTGCTGAAGCCCAGAGCCCCTAAGCAACAGAAAATATTTTATTCTGCCAGCAGATTGGCTTTTAATGGCTCTGATTAGTGATGCACCGATATATCGGGCACCGAAAAGTATTGGCTGAAAATAGGGTTATTGGCGTTTTGGTAGGAAAAAAAAGGAGGTGCCAATAATGATAACTGACTTCAATGCAAGAATGCGCCCCATTGACTTCAATGCAAAATCCCCTGCCCCTTTCCATCAGTGCTGGGGTCACATTAGCTCAGTGATGGAGAAAAACTGAGGGAGAAGAGAAACATTGGAATACTAGTCGATACCAGCCTGCAAAAGTGTATTCGCTTTGGAAGAATAAATCACCTCTAATGTTGGATGTCCTACATGTGTGGATGTTACTGTGTTATATAAAACTATTAGCATAGGTTTTCACATTTTAGAATGGGGTGCGCTTTAAAAATTATGGACATTCTAGAGGCACCCCATTTTAACATGTGGGGTGCCTCGAGACTGTCCATAATTTTAAAGGGTGCCTTGACTGAAAAAAGGTTGAGAAACTCTGCCCTAAGTAAATAGTCTAACTGAATGTGGACTGAGGCATCCTTTAAGATGGAGCCAGGTTCTTGGGCCAATGCGTTTAGTTCAGACAGAAATGGTCTGGCAGACTGGCACAAAAGCAACTGCAAGTTGCTTGGAGGGGTTTGCTATGGAAATGAGGGCTTTAAAGAAAGGTAGATATGGTATCCTTAAAGTGAAACTACACTGCACCTGAGCATCACAAACCAAAAATGCTATTCAATTCATTTTTGTTATTCAAAGCAAACTCAGCCATCCAATCCATCTCTGTGCTTTATTTTGCTGAGAAATCATTTTACAAAACACCCCCCTAGCATTTCTGGCTGCGGCCATCCTAAGAAAAGGACATGTGATTTATGTAGCATTAGCTTCCTGGAATCCATATACCCTTATCTCAGGCATACAGGCAGGAGGGTGTGCTTAGCTCAGCAAACCCCTCCTTCCCTCCTGAGATGTATGATGTCATTTGTCTAGTTTGGAAACCAGGAAGTAACTGAAGAAATTTATAAAAAATATTTGTAAATGTGATATACTTCCCTATATATTTACTAATACTAGCAGCGTAAGGATTACAACTAATCAATGTAGACAGAGAGTGACATTCCACTTTAAAGTGGTTGTAAAGGCTCAAGGTTTTTTTTACCTTCATGCATTCTATGCAGCCTCCTCAATACTTACCTGAGCTTCATCACAGTCCATCAATGTGAACAACAGCCTCGGCTGTCCTGGGTCTCTGTCTCCTCACTGGCTGAGGCAGCAAACAGGCGCCATTAGCTCCCGCTGCTGTCAATCACAGCCAATCAGCCAATGAGGGGAGAGAGGGCAGGGCCAAGCCACGGCTCCATGTGTGAATGGACACACGTAGCTGCGGGTGCCTCCATAGTAAGTTGTTTTCTGTGGGGGCACCCGACAGGAGCGAGGGGCCAGTGAGCCTGCGGGGGTCCAGAGAAGAGGAGGATCCAGCCTGCTCTGTGCAAAACCTCTGCACACAGTAGGTAAGTATAGCATGTTTGTTATTCCCCACCTCCCAAAAAAGGAACCTTTAGAAATTGCTTTAACCTTGGATGAAATCTCTGCTACAGGCATGTGTAATGATCATGTTAGAAATTCAGAGCTGTCCTGTGTGCATTCCTTTTTTATTTTAAGGAGTCCTCCAAGTTTTAATTTTAGACCATAGAAAAATTAGTCTGAAAATAGGATAGGAGGGAGGTTTTTAGCAGTTCAGCAACAGACACCTACCTGGGCAGGGCTGACACCACTCAGTCCACAAAAATATAATAAGTGCAATACAATATAATAAATTACAAAATTGTAAATCACAGAAATACAAGTGTCTGAATAAGTTCATTTATCTTAATTGAAATGCTTCTATCCTTCTTTCCTTATGTAAACATCAAGTGCTCCAAATCGTAAAAGTGCAAATACAGTGCCACCAGATGTCTGTGCCATGTAGGAAGGCGGAACGCGTTGACGCAACTTCCGGTTTCCGATCCTGTACGTGTGACGTCATATGATTCCATGTTTAACCACCTTATGTGAGTGTAAGGAAGCTTTTTTCTTTGCACTTTATATATTTTTTATCGGTATACAGTAATATACCATTGGCATCTTTTCTTTTATGTTTAATATTGCTATATGTGGAAATATCTGGGAAGGAGAGTCAGTGAGAAATCGCTTAAGAGCATTACAACTTCTGAGGATACCACACTCCACCTGCATGCTTGTCTTTTTGTCTCTTAAAAGCTATATTAGCTCGAGAATTCACAGTATTTGGTGAGTGTGGATCAAATGTTTTTTTTCACTGAAGATGTGAGCATGCTGGAAAATTTATGAAGTTTGAGTTACAGTTCTATTTAAATTTTTTCACAAATTTTTTGGGACATTGACTTCCAGTCCGGACACTTTTACCCCCTTCCTGACCAGGGCAATTTTCAGCTTTCAGCGCTATCACACTTTGAATGACAATTGCGCGGTCATGCAACACTGTACCCATATGAATTTTTTACCATTTTTTTGAGACAAGTAAAACTTTATTTTGGTGGCATTTATTCACCACGGGATTTTAATTTTTTTTTTGCTATGTAACTGAAAATGTCCAAAATTTTGAAAAAAAAAAGTGTTTTTCTTATAAAATTTTGCAAATAAATATTATTTCATCATAAATCTTGGCCAAAATTTATTCCGTTATCTTTTTAGTAAAAAAAAAAAAAAAAAAAAAATAATCCAAATTAGTTTATAACCACAAATTATAATTTTTAAACATTTTTTTTATATTTATTTTTTTGCATACTGTCACCATGGTGACACTGTACTACTTGTGGGGGGTGATGATTTTTTTTTTTTTTACACTGATTGCTTTTACACCCATATAGGATGCAAAAGCAATCATTTCTCTTTCTCTCTGTCTGCATTCTTGCAGCCATTGAGAACTACTGAGTGAGCTGTGATTGGTCACAGCTTGTCATATGGTAAAAGGCTGTTGTGAATAGCCTTGTACCATGTGACCTCTGTGATCATTCACCGATTTCACACGTAGTAAGCAATGATGTCAGAAGTGACATCTTGCTTACTACTTTGCATGTGATCACTGATTGGCCAATCAGTGATCACATGATCGGGACCTCGCACAGAGGTCCCGTCCGACGATCGGTGTTTCACTGTGTCCAGAGGACACAGCGGCACCGGATCGCAGTGCTGTGCGCGCTCCCGGGGAGTGCGCAAAAGCAGGGTGCGGGGGAGGCCGTTTATAACCGGCCACCCGACCCTGCAGTGCCACCGTCCGGCCGTTTATATACAACGGCCGGTCGGGAAGTGGTTAATATATATTTTTTCACATTTTTATTATTTGTATTATTTGTGCTGTATCACTTTATGAGTTCTGCGATACCTTGCAGTCCACCCCTTGGTTACCTATCTAACACAAACCTTGAGAATTTAAAGACCACCAGATGGTAGCCTATCTATACACTGCTTCCGCCTAGCCTGTAAACCTTTTGCATTGTCTTCGTCCCCTGGACCACTCATTTCCCTCCAGCATAATCCTTACTTTACTCCAGATCTGTTGTCCCAATTCCTGAGAGAAATTCGGCCATATGAACAAGTACACGAAGAACATTTCTTCCAACTGGGTACCTTTCTATCTTATGAAGCATTGCAAGCGAATATGTAAAATTCTTCCTTTCTCTTCTGGACATATGTTCAACAAACACTTTTTAAAACTTCTAAACCCCTCCTCCACAACCTGTTCAAAGCCATTTGCTCTAGGACCACAACACCATGTGATATCTCTGGTATATACACTCCTCTTTTTCCAATCACACCTCAGCAAGTAGACTGCGTCAGACATGGAAACAAGAAACAGGCTACTATTTATATATTCAGGATGGTATAGGACACCTCTACAACTTCACAAATTCTCACCCTCAGCCTCCCCCCCTCTATGCTGGAGATGTGGATCTGAACCTGGTTCATTACTACATCTATGGTGGCCCTGCCCCAAACTGCAACCATTCTGGAAAGTTTTGCATGAAGATCTAGCCCATCTACACTCTAGACCAGCAATGGGCAAACTACGGCCCGGCGGACCTTTTAATCCGGGCCCGCGGAGCTAGGCTCCCGCTAGGCTCCTCTCACAGTCCGCCCTGAAGACCGGTGTAGCATGAAAATCTGTCTCCTATGAGGATCTGTCCCCCTCAACGTATCTGCGCATGTGCCGGAGATCGCCGATCGGCTGCTAATGCCTGAAACTGGCACATGCGCAGATACGTCGAGGGGGACAGATCCTCATAGGAGACAGATTTTCATGCTACACCGGAACGGCGCGGGACACGGCGAGAGGAACGAGCGGAGCAAAGGTAAGTGAATTGACACAGGGGGGACTTGGGGACTTAATATGGGGGATGAATTACTATATGGGGGATGAATTACTATATGGGGGATGAATTACTATGTGGGGGATGAATTACTATATGGGGGATGAATTACTATATGGGGGATGAATTACTATATGGGGGATGAATGACAATAGGGGGGATGAATTACTATAGGGGGGGATGAATGACTATAGGGGGGATGAATTACTATAGGGGGGATGAATTACTATATGAGGGATGAATTACTATAGGGGGGGATGAATTACTATAGGGGGGATGAATTACTATATGGGGGGATGAATTACTATATGAGGGATGAATTACTATATGAGGGATGAATTACTATATGAGGGATGAATTACTATATGGGGGATGAATTACTATATGGGGGATGAATTACTATATGGGGGATAAATTACTACATGGGGGATGAATTACTATGGGGTATGAATTACTATGGGGGATGAATTACTACATGGGGGATGAATTACTATGGGGGATGAATTACTATAGGGGGGATGAATTACTATAGGGGGGGATGAATTACTATGGGGGATGAATTACTATATGGGGGATGAATTACTATATGGGGGTGAATTACTATAGGGGGATGAATTACTATAGGGGGGATGAATTACTATGGGGGATGAATTACTATGGGGGATGAATTACTATAGGGGGGATGAATTACTATGGGGGACGAATTACTATATGGGGGATGAATTACTATATGGGGGATGAATTACTATATGGGGGATGAATTACTATGGGGGATGAATTACTATATGGGGGATGAATTACTATATGGGGGGATGAATTACTATGGGGGATGAATTACTATGGGGGATGAATTACTATATGGGGGATGAATTATTATATGGGGGATGAATTACTATGGGGGGTGAATTACTATATGGGGGATGAATTACTATGGGGGATGAATTACTATATGGGGGATTAATTACTATGCTTACTATGGGGGAATATTACTATACTTACTATGGATGACACATACACATAATTCATCTACTCTTGGTCCGGCCCCTGGGTCCAATATATGAACCCATTGCGGCCCTCAAGTCAAAAAGTTTGCCCACCCCTGCTCTAGACTATACTCCTGCCCAATATTTGCTACATCATTCCTCTCTCACGAAATTCACATATCACAAAATCTCTAGCTCTACGTTGCTGTATTTCCTGAAAATGGGGCACCCCAACCCCTCCAACGCTTGCAGAATGGCATTATCGCATCCAACAAACAGTTGAAATAGAGGAGCTGATCTGTATTGCACGAAATACTCCTACCAAATTTACCATACATGGCCATGTTGGCTCCATTTCTAAGAATTGCTAAGTAATCCAACACCACAACCCAAACCCGCTCCTGGGTAAATGACTGACCCAATGTAGGTTTCTAGATTGCTTCAGCTACACGACAGACAGGAACAGTGAAATTTTTTACTCGTCTTATTTCCTACATGCCACCTTCCTCTTGCTCTCGTAGCGTAATTGAGATATGTACTATGCATCACCTTATAGGAATTATGTTATTTCTAGACACATATATTTGAAGTCTGGATAATACAAAAACTATTTTGTTATCTCAAAACTATGAGAATTTATTCATGTACTTAACCCAGATTTCTCTGTTGTGGCTGTATACTATGTACACAATATGCTCTAACACATATCACGTAGAAATTTACTGTTGTATTACAAATACTGTTTCTATTATCTCATCAGTTTTTCTGCAGGTATTGTAAGAACAAGGCCTTAAACAGTATAGCTTAGTCAATGACCTACCCCCAAATTTCTGACTGGACAGTGAATAAGCACCACTACAATGGATTGCAGGAAGAAGATATAAAGATATGTTCTCACACATGGAATATAAAAGTATAATTTTACTGCATATAAAACAGCTTTACATTTTTTTTAATAAATAATTTAAAATTACCTTAAAATGGGAGTCAAGGTATCAGATCTAGTTTCTGGACTCCAGGCTATAGCATCCACTCTTACTTCATGGTGAAATGTTTTGAGAATCTTAAACTCTATACCATTTACAGAGGTATCTTCTTCCTGTATTACAAATGATACACATTTTTTATGTTATAGAGAGCTGCATACCAATATTCCAGCAATACAGTACACCCAGTTGTAATGGAGACAAATTGGTATTAACTTCCCACTAAAATCAATTTCCTGGAGTACAGTATAGGACACAGACTTCCTTATGTAATTACAACTGGATTATTTTCAGCTATCTTAAGGTGACTGGACACAGGCCACTGTGTCTTGTACTGTATTCCAGGATATGGATTTTACTGGTAGGTTAAAAAAAATCCCATTTTCCTGATAATAGAATACATGACAGGTGCTTGTTGCAATCATTATGACTGGGATGTCCAAAAGCAATGGCCAACACTGCAAACCAAACTACCATGCCAACAGAATAACAAAGGATCAAGAAGGTGTGACACACTCAGAGCAGCTTGTAGTACCATACACCTGAATCTGGCACCAGAAGAGGTTTGAGCACACACCTTGTAGAACTTGGTGGTTCAGGTGACAGCCTTGCAAATCTGCAATATACAGTAAATGCCAGACAGGGAAGAGCCCATGAAGCTCCAACAGTTATGGAATGCCAGAAATGTGTCTTAACCTGGGGGGTGGGTAATCCCAGCCTCCAGACTATAGGCTTTGACAGCTTGCCTGAGAGGTAAATTCTCACAGCGTGCACTACGTCCAGACAGTGCAGGGAAATTTCCTAGAAGGACATAAGAAAGGATGGACAATATCCTCAGAGGTGGAAAGCAGAAAACACCTTAGGGAGAAAAGAGGGCTTAGGCCTCAAAATACATTACTTAATGTTGCACAGGGAGAAAGGTTTCCAATGGGATAACAGTTGCTTATTCAGAGACTCTCCTTGCAAATTAGATAGCAACAAGAAAAGCCACCTTATGGGTACGTTCAAAATGCAGCTTCTGGAAAGCTGAGAAAACAAGGCTGAAGCCCCACGGGAACATAGGAGATCAGTTAGGAGGAGAGATGTTAGCTACACAAAGACAGAATGGTCAAGGCTAATGTTTTTCCATTGATGCTACTCAAGGCCAGATGTTGGTCCAGACTGGACTGTAAGGACAAAGTATGTTCCACGAAGTACTTTCTAGAATGAAAGTTCCTCACCTTGCACCAAGCAAAATATGTCTTTCAAGTACGATGGTAGACTTTGAAAAGTGGACTTCATGGCTTGAGAGAGATGGGACAGACGTTTGTCCCAAGGCAACAAGATTTTGTACAGGGTTGTGTCCAGACTCAAGGCCAAATTCTCTAATCTCTGGATAGTCCAGAGATGGCCTCAAACTGAGGTCCCACCCAGAATGGTCAGGGACTGTGAAAACTGGTTCTTCAGTGGTAGTTCATCCAGTTACCCTACTACACAGATTCCTCGGCAGAAAGTAGAGCCAAAACCAGGGCAAACACTTTGGTGAAACCCAGGTGTTCTAGAAAGGCTAAATGGAAAGGCAAAAAAACTGGTAATGCTGGTCACCCTCTGCAAATTGCAGATAATGTTGGTGTAATGTAAAAATGGGAATGAGCACATATAGGCAGAGATTTTCTAAAACTGGTGCGCGCAGAATCTGGTGCAGCTGTGCATAGAAACCAATCAGGTTCTAGGTTTTATTGTCAAAGCTTAATTGAACAAGCTGAAGTTAGAAGAGGATTGGTTACTATACACAGCTGCACCAGATTTGTGTGCACCCATTTTAGTAAATCTCCCCCCCATATTATCTGATAAAGTGCATAGCCCAGCACTTCATTCCAGAAAAATCATTTCTGACTAAAAAATGTTGAATGGGTTCAGTCTGTTGTGTCTTCACATCTAACAAGATAACAGCAATGACCCCCACTTCTGATGCTTGGAGATAGCAGTGTCCAATAAGGAGTTTAACAGTGTTGTATAGTGCAGCACATGGAAACGCAGGTTCCTTTCAAACTGGCTTTTAATAAAGTTTTGAAAGGTTTGGTGCTATGTGAGCCTTTTCTCCCTTATTTTTCCTAAGTTACTGCTGAATGGAGAGCCTACATATTAGAGGAGGGAAAAGGTGTAAAAATAGAGAGGGTCTAGTTAAAACGTGAATTTTGACCAATTTAAAAATAAGTTGTCAACACCATCTGGTGAGTGCTTACCTTTAGGGTATGCACCGCAGTGAGCAATTCATGAAATTATTGGAAAACAGGAGTCATTGGAAACAGATTAAACACATTTTGCACAGAGCACATTATTTACAAGAACATGGTCCTGGAAGATGAGAAATTGTTTTTAGAGTGGACTTTTTACGATATGCACAGTTTAATTTGCACTTGTATTCAGTTTATGCAGATTATCATTGTTATTTCAATCGTTGATGTATAGTTTCAATCATTTTACGATTTTGACGTAGACAACTCTATCCTCCTGTGATCTCTTGATGTACTTAACCAAGGAGAAACCAAACAGGGATTCACTTTCAAAGACTAACCTCTCAAAGTGTTTCTTGCATTGGAGCGCAGTCGATCAGCATTTAAACCAGATAATTCTGTGCACGTGGCTAGAGGGAAGATTACTCCTGGAAATTTGCATCTGCCAAGGCACTCACACAGTAATAGAAGGTAAAAGGATCCAACTGAATGTGGACCGAGGCATCCATAAGGATAATGAGCCATTCATTTAGTCCAAAATGCAATACTGTAACAGAATGCCATAAATAGGTTGCACGGCGGGGACTGTCAAGGAAAAGAGATTTAAACAGCACCTCTAATCTCTTATCCAATGGGTCCTTGAACATGGGATTATCCTCCATGAAAACCACGAGAGTCTTATTAAGGCAAGAAATGACAGATTTACCACAGGAGCATCCATTTACAAAGGCAACTTTTTTTCAATAGGATATTGTTGGGTGAAATGTTCTGGAGAAGAAAAAAAAAATAATTTTCTGGTTGAAGCCATTGTCCATATACATTACTTTATCAGCGAACGAAACTGGGAAAGTCTTGGCTACTTTTGTGGTGATCAGACTTGGGCTGCTTCAACGTTAAACAAGAGCGTGCAGCATCAATAAAATGGTTAGTTCACTGTTACAGTGAACAACGTAAAGGTGAACCAACACTGGACACAGTCCTCAACCTCCCTTTCCTGCAGTATTTACCTCTGGTGTTCTTGAGCTATCAGCAACCTTGCAGCTGCTCCAGCGGTCTGGGTATTTGGAATCCCTGCTCTTCTACCTCCTCTCCATCAGCACTTCCAGGACAGATAAGATGGATTCTATTTGGTCAGTGCCGTCAGTGGAAAGACTAGGTCCATCACCTAAGGACACTAACAAAAAAGCAGAGGGTTGCTAAAAATGGGAAGGTCTCAGCAGCTTTTTTTATTGCCAGTATAGTCACTTGAAGGTAACTGAATGTAACCCAGCTCTTATGAAGCATGTGCCTGCTCTATGATCAGGATGTAAAATGTACTTCTCATTGTTTTACAATGGCAAATTCAGGACATTAGTTTTGATGGCAAACTAGGATACAGACATAGGGGGATAATGAGCCTTTTGTTCCCAGTCAGAGGGTACCTCAACTGCCGTGTGACTTAACATTTTTTTTTTTTGTTTACAAATGATTTAGTGAAGTCAAGACAAAAGAAAAATGACAACAAACCAGTCAATGAAAGTATCAATATGTTGATAGACAAGTGACGCATATCAGCCAATACATGACAAGGTAAATCAGCATTCAATTTGACACACTAAAAATGACATAAAAATAGCAAAAAGAAAAAAAAGAATTGGCTAATGACATATCCATCGATCATCAGGAGAGGCAGGACAAAGTGCACTTATCAAAATGTTAGGTAAGCCTGGGATCCAAATACAACGGAAAGGTACATAAAGGTATATAAAAATAACTTAGTACAAGGAGTAGTAATCCCACTTTAAAAGATTGGCATAGTATCATAAATTGTATGACCTATCTTTTCCATAATTTTAATAGATTCTATTTGTGCTACTACTTGGGACAATTTTATTACATAATCAGAGCACCAGGTAAGAGCAATAACCCACTGAATAAGGAATGCAATAACTTTTCACAGGGAGGAGGCACATCTGGGATGGATGCAAACAAAAGGCATATTGGCATTGTCAAGGTAAGTTGAGAACCTATAATTTGGGCAGTTTTACAAGCAGCATGTTGCTTCAAAGGATATACAGCTCCATACAAGTGAATGAAAGTGCCACAATCTGGTCATTCCCTAAAGCAAGTGGCAGGAACTGTCTGAAAAATAGTAGGAAGTTTAGATGGAGTCATGTACCACCAAATTTGTAAGTATTTGAAACCTTCCAAATTTGGGAGGTTGTATAATTATTGAAGATGAGTGAAAGAACAAAAAAATAAGAATCACCTATCAGCAATCCTAGTGAAACCAGGTTGTGGTTCAACCAGACAGAAAACTTGATCTGGACGAGACTGCTGACAGGAAATTGGTATAACCCAAAAATGACAGTAGCTATATTTCATGCTGTGTAAATACCATAAATGTAAAGATTGACACACAATTGCATTCAGGGGTGCCAAAAGTCTGAGACAATTGGACTTATGCAGGCCATAGATGGGTCAAAAATCGGCCGATTTTTCGACCGAAAATAAAAATCGGCCGATTTTCGGATCGTTAGTGGGCTATTTGTTCGGCCCGTTTTTTCGGTATTTTGGCAGATGATTTTTTTTTATCTGTAAAGTTGGAAAAAAATCGGCCGATTTTCCCGGCAATGATGGGCAAATCAGCCGATTTTTTACCGATAAAAAAATCTGCGCATGAGCAGTGACCTGCAAGAGGAAGACAAAAAGAAGAAGAAGAAGAGGATGAAGAAGAAGAAGAGGAAGAAGAGAAAGAGGAAGAGGAGGAAGAAGAAGAGGAAGAGGAGGAAGAAGAAGAGGAAGAGGAGGAAGGAAGAAGAGGAAGAGGAGGAGGAGGAGGAGGAGGAGGAGAAGAAGAGAAGGAAGAAGAAGAGGAAGAAGAAGAGGAAGAAGAAGAGGAAGAAGAAGAGGAAGAA